AACCGGTCTCACTTATTGTGGTCTATACAACAAACCCTTGCTACTAATTGTCACGACAATTTCGTGGAATAACTGTTGTTTATTGTGCTGTATGTTTCAGAATATGAACCAGTTTATTTTTTTGAGAATTAAAAAAGAAAACGTGATTTGTTCACAGTTAAAACTAACAATCAAAATGTGCCACTCTTGTTCTCTCTTTCATATTTAAGTAAAAAAAACCGATTGATATATATTCATCGAACTGTGCTCTTGTTATATGAATAAAAAATTAATAGCATATTTTTATACGTGTTGAAATTCACACTCGCCGATAGTGGAACAGATTGTGTGCTCGCCTGAGTGGCGGTTAGGGAGCTTCATGCTTTCAATGAACGTTTTGTCGTACATACGTATATGGGTTGGCCATAGACTCGCCGACAGACTGCCTCTCATAGTTCCCGGTAAAGTATGTCTATCACAATTCGACAGGTAAGAGTCGCCAACCTCTATTCAACACTTAGACAACTGGGTCATCGGGGTAATATTATTTTACGAAAACCAAATTAATAATATAGCTGCTCGAAGATATTTGAATTCGCGAATACTGGATACAATCCGAGTCTGATTTTCATGGCGAATTGCTTACAGACGACAAAACGTAACAGACTGTGCGACAGTGCATATAGGCGGCGTTTCCATTTACAAGGCGGGTAATCCCCACTTACAGAATAAATCACTGCCCATTACCCCTTGTTTATATTTCAACTCACGAAGTTAGATTCTAAATTGGTATGGATCTAAAGTGTAGGACGGCATCAAAGCGGGTACGATGTCACAGAGAAACGAATTACCTGAGACGATTAAATTAAACCAATTACAAGATAAAAACTATCAACAAAAAACTGAGTGGAGTGTCGATGATATGAACATGGCATTGTCATATTTCATATCAACACATTCAACCAGAAAAGACCAAATATTCGCCGTTTATTCGATGTAGTGCGTATTCTCAGTGGCTAAAGATTTTGAATTTTAATAATGTTCGCACTTTCAACTGTTACAGTGTTATAATTGAAATTCAGAAAATGCAATAAAACTATCGTTGTATTGAATTATATCAAACTAAAGTAAATTAATTTGTCACGTGCAAGTAAACGCGGCCTCGAGGAATATGAACGTTAGGATGAGTTAGAAATCATCTAGCCATAGCCATCTAACAGTCTTCAGTACGATTTGTTTCGCACGTGTAGACATGCATATACATATCCAATGTGTTCATCGTGGTTCGTTCTATTGTCCAAGGATGACTGTTGTCACAAAAGTTTTCTGAACCGAAGTTTCGTTTTTATTGATTTTAATTGGGTGCGAGGAGATTCATTTCCAGGCAGTGATCGTGGTACTTCAAGGCAGCGTACACAAGAAGAGCGTGTGTGAACAAAGACATCGAACGGCGTTCGCTACTATCTTGTTAGTATTCGGGATTTTACTCCGGGGACGGCTTCAGTTGAGATGTAAATATGCCATGAAATTAACATGAAATGCTAATCAGTTGACGAAACAGTCATGTATAGTTTCCCAAGAAGTGATTCGCGCCGAAAACCGTGACAAAAACTGCGATTTCGGTCGATGTAATGAAGAAACGGGCATTACAGATATACTCTGAGTGGCTTTCTTGAAACTTCTGACGGAACTCTGATTTTCTTAGACATGCCTTAGCCGGGGTACAGTAAAACAGCTAGTGGTGGGCCCTGACGTACAACTATGTGGCACCCAAGGACAATGCGAAATGGAAATCTGTTGGAAGGCGTGCGTGTTTGAATTATACTGTATGCGACGGGCGGGGGTCGGGTCGAACTGCGATGTCAATGAGAGCTTTTGTTTTCAACATAAAAGGCGAAACGGTGGGATGAACATGACTTATACAGTGTGCCTGGCACGCATAAACCCTCTGGGTGGCAAGGATACCGCGTTTTCGTACTAATTGTTGAACTGGGCGATCATTTTGCTGTGCCATTTTACCTCCCCACTCCAATTAATTACTTTGAAATGTATTAAAAACTATCGGTTGTATTCGGAGGGGAGTTGGCGCATGACGCATCGGTATTAATCAGACAACTGATCCGATTTCTCCTGATATCAAACATCACTGTGAAATCAATACACTCTAATCATGAAATTGACCAGCCCTCATTTTAAACGAACGCAAAACAGCATGAACTATTTGTCAAAACTACCGATGCAAGTTATAACCCAAACATGAAATTAACCATTCGTCCTGAAAAGAGAGTCTAAGAAAAGTCATCCAATTTGGATTGATAGTTACCATGGGAACATTCTCCCATCTATACCAGTCATGCATTACTCATATAAAAATGTATGGTGTCCAGAGACCGACAAAACGGGTCTCATCAACCTTACCTTTGCTATTCATGCGTCAAACTAAAACGTCTACATAATGCGTGGTCGTTCAATCAGTTATATTTTGAACACTGTGTTAATCTGATGCCAGAGTAATTGTTGTGTTCGACAAGGGATGTATATACAACTCCGATCGACTATAAACAACTTGTCCCCATCGTGCTCTTTCTAAAGATGCCCCACCCCATGCCTGAACACAATCCTTGTACAATTGGGTGTCTGTATGTGATGACTAACTCTATAAATGCAATAGCAGTTACATACAGTTCTCGCGTTTAAATAACTGTTAAAACAACTCACCTAGTCAACAGATTGACGCAATACTGAATTAACATTTCTGGTTTTTTTCTGTTTTAAAGTTTTGTGAATTTTGTGAAGTTTTATCATTTTTTATCAACATATGCAATATTGTTTGGTATGCCTGTGTATACCAAGTATGGATTTGTTTTCATAAAGTGTCGTAATTACGCTAACCTTTTCTGTAACTGAATATCCGATGTAAATATCAATTAATTTCGATTTTGCCAGGTTTAGATATTAATTCACTGGTTTTCTAAAAAAAAAACTTTGCTGTCTTACATTCAGTACGTTGTTAATCCAGTTAAAACGCATTGACCTATTAATGTTTTAAGCAAAATTGTTCCAACATTTCCGACATCAAAGTTAAACATTTTTGATCCGATACCGACACTGGGTGAGTGAGAGCAGGTGAACAATACTGCCTCGTGCCCGTACAAATAAGTGAAGAAGTTTGATACCATCAATGGCGTTGCTTTCGTTTGATTAAATTGGTTACTGTATACACAGCGAGATAGTATTTAATAACATTGCAATGTACCACAGAGCGATGTCCTATCTGACTCGGCGGAACAGAGGCGTCTGTACACGTGAATTGAATCGTTTTAGTTCAGCATGCCTAGCGCCGTCTGATGTTCGCTTTCATTGAGAACAAGTCGACGGAAGGCAGAGGAAAAGACAGTTAAATACATCGGATTGCTGCAAATATCCGCTACTGGTTGTGTATCCGTAACAAGGGGGAGGTTTCCTTTTTAATAATAATAACAATACATATGAAAGATTAATATGTTTTCATTAGGCCAGTCCTTTGACAACCATTTCTACTGACTGCATTAAATGTAATCAGTTTCATCGAGGTTTAATTTGATCATAGTTTGCGATTTTTTTTCTGTGCGTAAGAGATTCAATCTCAACATTAGATGTTACAGATATGTTAGCATATTCATTTAATTGCTTGCTTTGTATAAACTACTTGGGTTATTCTTTTCTTTTGACTGACCTTGTACTACGGTCTCACCACAAAGCTGCGACAAAACGGTTCTTTTTATCCATAAATGGAAACACCTCGGTCACATACCTGTAAACTGAGTACTGAAAGGGGCATTTGAAATAAATAGTTGCTCTGAAACTTATTTCGTTAAAAGTAGTAACTGGTTAACTAGAGAAACGTAGCAACCGGTTGGCAACCAGTCGACGATGTTTGAATACGAAACTTCAGCGGAGCGTCGCAGATTTACTACAGCAAAGAAGACGCGTAGGTACCGGGCTGTCACGTCATCAGTGGCCATAGCCACCAAGAACAAGCCATTCCGCGCGACATCGTAAACCATTTGAAAAAAACACACTTTATGTACAAAAAATCTAAACAAAAAACACGTTTTATTTCCCGTTTTTGAATCACTGTTTTCTTCACCTTATTGCGTCACATTGTAAGGGTCAGTACATCGCTACTGAAACATCTCCACATCACCATGGCAACCCAGCTGCGGTGTTCGAGAAATGTGTTCAGTGAGTATCCCAGGGCTCGTTTATATCTTTATATCACCGTCTCCATTATTGTGAGATCTATTCGGGACCACTGACACATTTATAAAGGTAGGCGGATCCTATAAACACCTTAATTTCAGAGGCAAAAACTCTCCATTCATCCAACTCTTTGCTGCATTGTTCGCCATACACTGGGAACCTCATAATAAATAGCTGAATGATTTCCACTTGCCTTGCTATTAAGGCTTGTTTACTTTACTTTTAACTTTACTTGTATAAACTGTTTCTTACCCCCGTGCCACTTTTTGTCCAAATTCGAAAAGAGCGGCCAGCTTTGATACCTCTCGACGAACGGAGGAGTTAGCAGAACGTCGCCATTTAATTGGAGTGTCGTTTAAACTATGGTGTGATATATTCCCCGCTGTATTGAGTTAATAACCTAGCTAATCATAACTATTGGGCACCCTTTCCTCTATTGGGGGCGTGCCGACAATTCTTGCTCCAATAAGCAGCTGGCTGCCCTTGACCAATCGGAATGCACCAGTCGACAGTATAGTTGACCCGAGAGGGCGTGTCGTCCGTCATTAATTACACAGTGAACAATTGATTGATGATATTGGTAATCAAACCCGCCCCGCAGTGCACGTACTTGGGGTTTTTGCTAGCTGTCCACTACCCCTCTGAATCGATTTAGAGCATTAATCACTCGACCATTCAGTCTACCACCCAGGTTGATGTGACACTGACTATGTATGTGCCATCCATATAGTATCACGTATGTACAGTGACAGGGCACAGTTGAATTGGTGACAGTGGCCACTCGACCTACGTTCGATCAGTAGTATCCTATCACAAGTACTGCTCGTGTTTGGTAAACTTTACCGGCATATAGCGAGCTCCTACACTTCTCTGTTGGTTACAATCCACCGCGGGACACCAGTTTGACACGTACGGAATTAGTGACTCCACGATTTGTCTATGTTATTGGTTTAATTTCACGGATTGCGGGGCTGGGTGCGACGGACTTCGATGCTTTCTGCGTACAACATTATGGACCAAAAGCGAACGAGTGCGTTCGTAATGAGTAACCCTCCACTTGCAGCACTACATAACATGACCGAAAAGAACCAAATGTTTCAATTTCCTACAGTATACAGCAGTCACAGTGCGCTCAAACCATTTATCACGTCGCCAGTCGCTACACCACACGGCATAAACGATATACTTAGTCGACCTGAAACCACGATGCTGAACGTACCCAGAATTAACACTGCTGTGAACGCTGGTATGTACTTTTCAGCGGCTAGTCGTTTTAGTAAACCAGAACTGCCAGGAAGCCACACATCGGCACTATATTGGACACCTTCGATGCCACCAGTACAGCACCCGAATTCATTAAACTCATGGACCAGAGAGCGTTACCCGTGCCAAATGGGTCCACATTCAGGTAAGGCACATGGTACACACAAATATGGAAAACAAAAAGCCTATCAATGAAAACTATGTTTTCCGATTTGGTTAACACAATTTTATCAATATTCGTTTATTATTGCCCGACCTTAAACTTTCAACACATGTAATTTAGATTAACACAGTGCCCGGTCGTCACTGAATCGCACGGTTTGCCACGTTACGCGTACTGGGGTTTATATGTTCATGTGTTTGTGTACTAATTGGATAACACGCTATAAACCCAGCAGTGTAAAATGTTGTGTCCATACGACAACAGTGTATGTAGTGGTTTAATGACCAATTGGTATATAAACCTATTCAAAGCCACGGTCAACAACGTTTCTGTGTGAATAGGATGGGTCTTTGTGCAATATCGTGTACACAGGGGTAGCCAGTTATGGAATTTAGGCTACCATAAGTACGGGAACAGCTTACGTCACCCAAACGGAAATACATTCTTCTTCACCACACACTATTCTATAACAACACGATGTTAGTACTCTAGTATTGTTATTACATCAATTTAGGGAAGTGAGTCCATGGTTAAGATGATAATATTTTATTTTTAATTGTTCAATTCACTCACAATGTTTCTTGTTACAAAATTATTGTAGTGTCAACATCTGGTCAAGGAGTAATGTCACTGGATAAGGATGGCAAACGCAAACACACACGCCCAACATTTTCGGGCCAACAGATCTTTGCGCTTGAAAAGACATTCGAACAGACGAAATATCTAGCCGGTCCCGAAAGAGCACGTCTTGCCTATGCACTGGGGATGTCCGAGAGTCAAGTGAAGGTACGATGTCACGTTTTATTATTATTTCCCGTTTCACTGCCGTGATATGTATTTTCGAGGTGTATGCGAAACTCGAACGCGCGTTTTTACCGCTAGTTGCGCAGGCTTTCATAACCGCAGTGAAAATGTTCCAAATTGCAAGTCAAGATAGTTATTGCGTATATGCTTGTTGTATTACTAGACTGTGTTGTGGGTCTGCAACGCCATACTTACTTTATAGGGACCGACCGAGGCCACGGCGTGACATGATGCACTTTGTTGGCGTTTCCATTTGATCGACTGTAAGTCGACGACTCAGGACGATTTATTCCGTCTAAATACACCGTATAATCCATTGCCATTGATTAAACTGTTTCCCCATATCGATCTCAAATCGCCAGCGCCATCCGCTCTTGTAATAACTCTAATATCACTAATATCATACATTGCTTCACGGTGTTGTCGGCTTGGACTATAGTTATTTTATTTAGCGCTACTCTGAACAACGATCTGGGAATTCGGATCGATAGCTTGGTCGCGGTATCATCGGGACATTATTTTGAAATGTCGCCTTCATATGTAATTAAATCAGAACAGCTTAATTAAATTTGCCCCTGACGTTCACTCATTAGTTCACGCCTAATTTGAAGGGATATCCATTACAGGGGTGTTATCATAAATAGGCAGATAGTTTCGATATCGCACCATTGCAGCCTTGTACAGATTCCCCTCACTTTCAATTCGCCACCTGCTCTTTATGTAGCGTACAAAAATATGCAGCAGATCAGATCGGCTATTTAACAGTAAAAATACTAAACACACTCCTGCGTAAATCGTTGGCGTCGCCAACTCGATGGGTGATTCCGATCCTTTTGTCATGCCATAATTACGAACACTATCTGGCTTCTGTTTTCTGTCCCGAGTCTACTCCCCGCCATTTGTCAGAACATATTTGCAATGACGGCATGTGAGAACATCTTTGAATAATAGGTTATATCCAAACTAATACGTGGAGCCGTCTTATTTATAAATACTCTTATACGATACCACTACGATGTGGATTCAAATAATTATATTTATACGACCGTGATCAGAGGCTGTATTCTTTAAGTTCAATGGCTCATTGTTAATTGAACGTATTGTGATATACTGTCTTTAACAAAGCCATCACAATTTTATAAAAATAAAATAGATGATTATTTTGACCTTAAAGTATATTACCAATATAATATTTCCATGTTAATTTTGACGTTTCCAAGACATGATGTTGTTTTATTTGACCAAATTGAGATTAGATAGAGGTTGTTTCCCGGCACGACGTTATGACCACTACCATTTCCCCCACACATGTAATAATACGACCGTAGACTATAGAACAACCTAAGATTATTCTGCTGTTTGTGCAATTAAACAGCGTCATTTAGACTGTAAACAAAACCATGGTACTCTATCTTCGAATTCTTATATGGCAATGTACACGAAGACGAAAAACGAGAGAAGAACGAACGCCATGGCAGAGTGATTGGCAAACACATCGAAAAAACGCATTAATAACATCCTGTTTACTTGAAATATATCACAAATTTCACTACTAACTATTTATTTATGAATTGAAGTACGTCTTCCGTCGTGTTTTCATTATTTTTATGGCGATATTTGCACGGCGAGAAAGCTATGTGTTTCTAGAGGCCTTGGTTTTATGATTGATGGTGATATCTCGACGGGCTCATTTTTATGATTATCATTCTATCTAATATGCTAGTTTTCAAGAAATGAAAGCTAACCAATTCATTTCAATCAGCGGCCTATCCAATTCATTAAATAATATTACCATTGACAGGTTTCTCACATTGTTTCACATGGAATTATAGGTCTGGTTCCAGAACAGAAGAACAAAATGGCGGAAGCGACACGCAGCAGAAATGGCCACAGCAAAAAAGAAACAAGAAGAAACGGAAAATATGGCTGGCGATGCGTCGGAAGCGGAAGACGGCTCGGAGAACGATCGTCATTTTGAAGAGGACTCGGAAAAAGAGAGTGAGCCTGTTTTTAAAAAGAAAGCGGACAGTCGACCAGCTTTCAGGTAGCTTAGTACCTTACCCAGGCATTATCTGGATGTAGGCAACCAGATAAGATTTCAAACTAGCATGTACATTTCAATCATGGACTACTTGTCGGCGAATGTATATTTCCTTTTATTATTTTATATATTTTAAAGTATAAGTCAAGTTTGCAGGTCCCTCAATGCCGGCTATCCAATTATAACGTACGGTGTGTCTTGCCAAGACGGGCCAGGTATAAAGTAGCATACTAACGACACGGCTGAGAGCTAGTAGCTTTCCTTTTTACTGACACTCTCGCCAAGACATTCTTATTTGACATCATTTTTTTATTATGAATGGGTCACCGATCTACATATATCATCCCCAAACTCATCATATTTTTGCTCGTCTTAAACTAAGCAATATCAGTATGATTATCTTAACAATAGACGGCAAATCAGGTCGTTAAACGACACCCAACTGTACCCAGACTACGTACTAAGTAAGACTATCTCGGACCCGTTATATATATCGTGGATATAATTACATTATACAGAAACAAATAGGGAATGATGAGTCTGTCTTTATTACCATGTACTCAGACACGCCGTTCACCGTTGTCCACTATGTTATCGTCAACACGCGTATGTGGACGGGGTTGATAAGGAGTCATTCCGGGACAACCTATTCGAGTCTGACAGTCGCCAGCGCCGTTCACCGTTGTCCACTATGTTATCGTCAACAGACGCCTATTATTAGGTGTACATCGTCAACACGGGTCAGGCGGTTGACAGGATGTTGGCGGACTCTATCTCCATGATACAATTTTACATTAGAAAGGCGGCTTTAAGATAACGACTTATATCGGCACCCGTCACATGTGTGTATAAACAGACAGATTACAGCCAGACAGCAATACCAATAGTTACATTGGGAATTCTGTGTTCTATATTTGTTCCTCTTGTTTTTATGCGATCTATGCTCAACGACTGCTTCAAATGTCCACGAGGAACTAGGGCACGAAACTGAATGTAAATGCGTCCGAAACGGAACAAATGTCTAGTTAGTGTGAAATCTTAAAAAATGTAACGACACGTTTATGTTAGACAAATATTTGAAAATTGTGGCTGTCGTGGATTCTGCGCTTAGATTTAGGCGGGTGACTGGAACTGTTAGTCTAAAATTGCCGGGAGCGTAGTTACGTCCTATGTTGCAGGTGAGTGGGAGGGAGGCAGCCACCGATGTTTTAAGTGTACTCTATATACCACCCAGTGTTCGTATCACACTCAAACCAATAACCCCGTCTTTGGTCTTTTTTACGGGTCACCAATCATTAATCGGTCTGCTGTCTGTACTCGGAAGTAAGCTCCCTTTAGTTTCGAGATGCCTCATTGTTTCCCATCCACGAGGCGAAATGAGCCGCCAGTCGCCCGCCGCTAACGTTAAATATGATGTAACAACGATAACCACATCAATAATAATTACTTTAACTACTTCTCAGTAATTTTAAAATCGATCACATTCCAGGGTAATTTTAACTCACTAAGTTTAATTTCTGTGTCATCACTACATGATCCTGTATTCCCGCTTTCAGAGTCAGTCACGGTGTTTGGTAGGCAGTCACGGTGTGCATGGGCGCCGTCTGCTCTGCTGTGAACTATTCCGTGATGCTGACAGTGCGGTATTTACGAACTCAACATTGAATCAAATCATAGCGATTCATCGTCCGTGTTTTGATCGGTTATCTCAACGACTTTATATGTCGGTAAATGAAATATTTCAAAACATTTCAGTTTTGATGTAATTCACGTTCTTTTTTACTAGGTGATTGTTTTTTTTGATAGACTGTTCGTAGTTCGTAGATTGTGAATGACAACTAATGTTTGAGATATATTGCAATGCTTTTGCAACGAAATATATATTGTATACACGAATAGAATTCATGTTGTTTTTTTTAAACTATTTTCTTATAGAAATATTATGGTTTTTTAACGGGGGGATAATATATGTGGATTGGTCTGCACTCACTTAATCTTAACCCCATGTTAGATTTTTTTAATGCAAACTCCTCCCGCTATTATCATGGTTATTCACGGATTTGTGTTTGTTTCTGTCTACATAATTGTTGTTGAACTCACCAGTGCTCGCTATTGTGCTTCGCCATTACTAAACAATCAAGGAAAAGCGAGAAATGAATGTCAGAACACACAATGGCGGAACAACATTGTATTAAAACAGAACCACGTCAGCAAAACATTGTAATGTGGAACGCTGTAGACGAATTCAACGGTGTAAATATATATAGGATATTATTATTGAAGCAAATGATAGCAAGTTGTTTGTTTTTGAAGAAACAACGTGTAGTTCAGGGTACCCAAGATTGGAACTGTTGCTTATGAAATAAGCATTTATAGACATTGACTTTTGACAACCACCGCGACTTTTCGTTTTATATGCGTGCTCAGCGGATGGTTTTGATCTATGGTGAAATGCGGCATATACATTAAACGAAAGCTCAAATCTTGCCAATTTATTGTATTCACTATAACATGCAATGAACTTTTAAAACGAGTGGTTGAATTTGAAATAAACATCCAGTTGATTTTAATTTTTTTCTGTATTGTTGGTATTTGTTCTGTTAGTATTTTTCTTTATATATATATTAGAAATTACTGCCTATATAAGGATGCAACTAATTACCGTTATAAAGGAATCAACTCTGGTTTCTGTTTAACTTGTTGGGTCAAAAATGCCATTCGCGACTCTTTTCGGGTTTCTGCCAAAAAGGGCGAAAACAAACGCCTACAAAACAAGTAAATAAGAGACGCGCGCCATGTTTTGAACGTCACAGATCAGAAACAAATAATTTTTTAGTCCCAAATGAGGTTGTCTATTTCGTCCTTTGGTTGGTTAAGTTCAGTTTTTAGATATACATATTTTTTCGAAATATTGACAAACAATAAGTTAAATTCCAAAACCTCGTTTTAATTACACAATGAGATTATTGTACGCTGCCTTCATTTGCTAATGAGTGTGAAACGAATCGCGAATCATCGCAACAGATGACAGAATGGTGTCGAACCCACAACAACAGATGAACGCCGAATGAGCATTCACAGGCTGCTGTCAGGAAAAATAAGAGTTTTAAACAAAACGTCGCCACTTGACAGAGAATAACGACCACCGGAATAGGATATATCAATTTCTGTAACGTCGATGGCAACTGACATATTTTCTTCCATACAATAAATTCTAATTCTTCACGAATTTAATAGCCATTGTATTAAGCAAACGATTGAAAACAACAGGGGTCTGGTAACAAGATCTCGTTTTGTGGTTACTGCGCTAGCTATTTCTCTCCAAAAGAAAGACAGTGCATGTGGGAGAGTACAATTAAGAACGATTAAGCGTACACAGCGACTCTGTTCTCATTAAAAAGGAGATTTTCTGAATAAATACTCAAGTCATTGCGGTTTTCCTATTGCATCAACTACATGTATGTTATCATGAAAGCGACGACGACTACTACACTTGTGTTGTTGATCGCCTCGGACACGACGACGACGACCCAGTTTCGCTTCGTAGATCGCTTCACACACGCCACAAGTAATAGTCGTAAAATACATCATCAGAAAGCGATGCTTAAAGGGGTAGCCATGTAGGCATTTCAAAAAGCCATTCATTTTATGAATATTATGTGTATTAGTTATGATATGTCTTCATTAAATCAAAAACTCGTATGCGTCTGGCTATCAAATTAAACTAAGTACAGAGTTGCTAATGGTTATGTCATGTACCACGGACAAATGATTAAGACCTTCAGATAAAACCGTCATTTTTTCAACTCGATTGCTTTCTATTTTCGTGCCCTCCGGTTCAATTAATTATATCTCGTCAGCGTTGATATTTCAACGGCAGTTCCGTCGTTTTGAATACCCGAGGTTGAAATACTGGAAGATGAAATATTGGATAAGCAGTGTCTGCCCGAACAATTCCACCGTCCTCCTATTTTCTCCGTCATTTTCGTGTGCCGGGTCTCCACGAACCTCTACTTCTGGATGATTGTCGTTTACTCCGATCCCCAGGTTTCTTCACCCACACTATTTCCAGTTCGAGCGATTCCAGCCTGACATTAAGTACTCCCTGTCACTGACGATTCTCTGTCATGTTTATGTCGCTCGATTTATTTATTTATTTATTTATTTATTTATTTATTTATTTATTTATTTATTTATTTATTTATTTATTTATTTATTTATTTATTTATTTATTTATTTATTTATTTATTTATTTA